GGGGGGAGGGGGCGTGGGGGTTGAGCTTTTCCGCAAGAACGTGGGGGCTCTGGGGATGCAGCTGCGTCGCAGGTGGCGCAGCAGCGCGGTGCCGGGTCCCTCCGAGCGTGGACAGTTGTCCAGAGGTGCAGGGGTGTCGCCTCACCACCGCCCCGCACACGCGCGTCGCTCGAACCCGGCGGCGCCGCCGCCGCAGGTGGGGGTCAACGACCTGTTGAGCGCGGGGCAAACGGCCCAGGAAATATGGGACGGCGGGCTGAGGGAGATGTATGACGAGGCGCTGGCGCGCGGCGCGCACGTGCTGGGCATGCTCCCGCTGCCAAACGGCCTCGTCAGCAGGTGTGTGATTGTGTGAATTGCGGTGGGGCAGCGACTGGACGGACGGGGCTGGGCCGGCAGCATGCGAGGGACGGTTGCGCCGGCGTCTTGGGATCATGTGCGGCCCCCTGCATCTTGATTGGCCACCCTGGCTGGGATCTCGCGAGCAGCCGTGGTGGCGGCCGGTTGCGCGCCCGCCGGCCGAAGCCCCCCGCCCCTGCGGCACTGACTGCAACGGTTGCCGCCTGGGCGCCGCTGCGCGGCGCAGCTCGCGCCCTGTGTCGAGCTTGCTTTCATGTCCCTCCGTTTTTCTCAACTCCTGTCACCCACACCGCAACGCAAAACCCATGCACACACAAACGTGCTGGCACCTGGAAAATGCACACACACACACGCGAGCCTGGAACACACACACGCGAGCCTGGAACACACACACGCGCTCCCATCCGCGTCATCACGCGCAGCTCTGATTCCAAGGAGCAGCAGCGGAAGCTGCTGGGGCACCTCATCTACGCCTACTCAAAGAGACACCCGCGGATCCGCTGCCTTTTCTATGGGATTGACTGGGGCAACGCTGAGAAGGCGAGGTGGCTCGACAAGGACAGGTGGGTGGCTCTGCCTGCTGACCGGTTGGGTTCTGGGAGGGGGCTGGCTTCTGACGCGGGGGCACGAAGGCCGACTCGATGTGTGTGCGGCGAGCGAGGTCGGCGTATGCAGGGACGCTTGTGGTGGTGTCACTACACCTTGGTGCTGAGGGCTGCACCGAAGGCTGCTTGTCTCCACTGGGACGAGCTGCTGGCCGACGTCGCGGCTCTTCATGGTGAACTTCCCGCTGAGTTTCACGCTGAATCCCTCGCCCAGGCTGCACCTGAGCGTGGAGGGCTACAAGGAGCTGTCGCGGCAGGTGCTCGCAATCATCCGCGGCTCCATGGGGCGGGACCCCTGCAAAAAGTGCAGCAAGTACGTCAATATCGCGGCCGACGGTGAGGACGCGGGCGCGAGCGCCCGCTTCACGCGCTGCGTGCGTGCGAGCACGCAGGCAGGCACGCGGTCGTGCGCGCGTCCACGCCAGGATACACACGGACGGATGAGCAGCAGACGGGCTTTTTAATCGCAGTGCTTCTCGTATGCAGCGTGCTGCACCGCCCCTGCACGATTCCGCTTGTGGCAGCTGAGCAGCCACCCCACCGATCCCTCAACAGCCTCGCCCCGGCCGCGCCCGCACGCCACCCGCAACCAGGCGTCGCCGCGCCCGCGCCGGTGCCGGCCGCCAAGCCGCCGGTCGCGGCTGCCAAGCTGCCAGCGAAGCCTCCGGCCGCAGACCGGCTGCCGGCGAATGTGACGCAGGCTGCAAAGCCGGCTCCGCCGGCGGGCGCCAAGCCGCCGCCGGCCAACGCCACGCGTGCCGCGGCGGGGCCCGCGCTGCAAGCGCCCGCGGCCAACGTCTCGGCCTCCCCGAAGCCGTCGCCAAAGCTGTCCACAGGTGTGGGGGCGGGAGTATTGCGACGTGGGGCATGCCACTGCTGCTGAGCCAACCGATTCCGGTCTGTCAGTTGGGGGAAGCCTGGCTGCCTGCATTATTCTGTCTGTGACCTTTCAGCTGCCGCCTGACGCTCTATGGCGCAACCTCCGCGCGTGCTCCGATTGACTGTACCGCTCGTGTCAAAAAGCCGCCCGCTCGCGCCCTGCAGCCCCTCTGCTGCCAGCCGCCCCGCCCGCCAAGGCGCCGCAGGCGGCCCCGGCCGCCGCCGCGTTGACTCTGGCGCAGCCGCCGCGCGGGCCGGCGGCGTCCCCCAGCCCTACTCTACCAGCCGGCCTGATCCCGTCGATCGTCCCTGCGGTTCCCGCCCAGCCCGCACGGCCCGCTGCGGTGGCGTCCCTGAAGCCGCCTCCCGCCGCCGCCCCCTCGGCTCCGCCGGCCACGGCCGCTGTGCCGCGGCCGGCCGCGGCGTCGCCAGCACCGACCGTGCCGCCCCGCAGGCGCCGCCGCGCGTCGCCTTCGCCGGCGCCGGCCGCAGCCCCCGCCGCCGCCGCCGCGC